CTCTGCTGTAGAAAAGGCACAGCCAGGCACAGGTAGCCGGAGGGAGCAGGTTCATGAACATAGGCCGCCGACCTCCGCTCCTGGCAGCTGCAGCCAGGCCACGGACCAGTTTCAGTTTTGAGGATCCTACTTCAGCAAAGGCCCTGAGGCATGCGGCCTTCGCCATTCCAGACCTACCTCTTCTTGCTTACTACTTACATAATTTGTCCCTCAAAACCAGCACAGCAAAGCACCGCACAACTCTGCACATCTCTGACACACAAGGCAGCGTTTTCTTCTTTATCCTGAGTGTGAGTCCTTGTCCTCTTCACAGCATCACACAGGGGCCCAGCGTGGTGTGTCTCCCACAAACCTACACTCATCATCTTCTTTTTGTTTTTCCTCACCCAGTTCTACAAAGCGAATGGCATATGGATGAGTCAGAAGAACCACATGGCCTATATTATTCATTCATTCATGCAATAAATATTTATTGAGAGCCAATTACACACTAGTCTCTATGCCAAGTGACAAGGATATAGCAGTGAGCAAGCAAACACAGTGCCTTCTCTCATGGAGGGAGAATGAGAGAAAGGAACAAATAGACATGTAATTATAAAACGTGACAAGAACAGGGAAAAACAAGGAGTGTCATGACAGTGTAACAGATGGAGTGGTCAAGAAAAGCTTTCCTGAGGAAACTAAGGCCTGAGGGGGGATGTGGACATGCAGTGGTTTTGTCACCTTTAATCCACTTTCTGTTCTTGTATAACGTCCTGATGATTATCTTTGGGGGCTTATGTTCAAGGAGTCTCATTCTTCACAGGCTAGGTAGGACTGGGCATGTGACCAAGCTCGGTCAAGCTGACTTCTTTCAGGGCTTGGAATCTTGGGTGGACGATGAAAGGACAGAAGAAACTGGAGTGGGCAAGGGTGCTGAACGAGGGGTGGAGCCGACCCAGTGCCTCTGGAGGGGCAAGTTGCCCCAGATCTCCTGGGACCAGATTGAGTCTGGCTTTGTCTTGAATGCAAAGGAAAGTTGTAAAGATATTTAAGTATGAGAAGGATATTTTTAGTAACAACACATGTCATAAAGGAAAAGCAGAACCATCTAATGAACGGTGCAAAGAATCTTGACTTGGTCGTTCCAGTTCTGTTCTGAGCCGGCTCCAGGACCCTAGGAGTTTGTCAGTCTCTCTAATCTCTCTTAGTCCCAATTTCCTCATCTATAAAATGAGGCAGTGGATTAGCTGATCTCTAACTTCCCTTCCTTACTTGATGTTTCATATCTATGGTGAAACCTTGTCAAACTGGACAGATGTCTCTCATTAAGAAGTTCATGAAAAAAATGGGAGCGATAAACAACCAACCTCTATAACACCTGTTGTGTTTCAAGGAGTTAAAATATTAAAAGCACTTACAAGCTGATTTTGCCAGCTTGTTGTCATGTTGGTTGCCAAAGGATTTTAAACAGTGCTAGGCTCAGCAACCAAGTCAATAAAAAACTTGAAAAAAGGTATTCTGTCTGGCTGGTGTCGCTCAGTGGATTAAGTGGCATACCATGGACTAAGAGATCCCAGTTCGATTCCTGGTCAGGGCACATGCCCCGGTTGCAGGCTCGATCCCTGGTAGGGGAGTGTGTAGGAGGCAGCCAATCGATGTTTCTCACATGATATTTCTATCTCTCTCTCTCCTTTTCTCTCTCTCTAAAAATCAATGGATATATATATATATATGAAAGAAAAGAAAGAAAGAAGGCATTCCATAAAGTTGGTTACTCTACTAAGCAAAGACTAGTGACTTCAATCGAATGCTTAACAGAAAACACTAAGGAGTGTAATGACTCTTGGGTGAATTTCACTAAAACCTTGTAACTGCCAAAATGTCTTTGTGTAATGTATCAGTTATCTATTGCTGTATAACAAACCATCCACCACCTATGCTTAAAACAACAACCATTTTATTCCTCACAACTCTTGGGCTGGCTGGGTCTGTTTTGGCTGGTCTTGCCTGGGCTCACTCACATGGCTGCATTCAGCGGGTGGGTTGGCTGGTGGCTGCCGTAGGGGATGGCAAGTCTCTCTCTGTCTGGGGTCTTCCATCTTCAAGGAGTTGGACCAAGTTTCCTTACTTTCGTCACAGCATTCCAAGAGATCAGGGAGGACTGCACAAGTGCTCATCAACTGTCCCTGCTTTTGCCATTTTTGCTGATGTCCCAGTGGCCAAAGCATGTCACATGGCCGAGTCCAGTGGCAATATGGTAGGGGCAACCAAGGTATAATTTATTCGAGGCCTTTAATGTAACAATGTTTGAACTTTCCCTCTTAGACATGGATTGCAAAATATGCAACTTTAACTTACAAATGAAAGTACTTTTACAAAGACACAATATACATATTACTATGAGTATGAGGAAGCATTTGAAGTCACCTTATTAAGGGACTGAATCCCACATCAAATGGCTCTGCTTGCCTCATAAAATTATTCATTAACTTTTAGCCGTGGCCTTGGGAAGTTATGTACATAATATTTAGAGGAAACTGGCATTTACAATTAAAATAAATGAAAGCAATTCACGCTGCAATACTGTCCCAATTTGGAACTTGACGTTTGCTAATTTCATATTCAGCAGCATCCATGCACCCCCTCCCCACACCAATCTTTTTGTCCTAGTATGTGCGTGCCTGTCTCCTCCACTAGCCCTCAAACTCCTTTGAGGGTAGAAGTCTTACCTCACCCAGGTTTGTTTCCTCCACTCTCACAACACCTTCAACACTCAGATTTGCCTTAAATGCTTGTTAAGTAAACTAATCAACAGTTGCCTTTTATTAAACACATATACGTTCCAGGGACTTGACTCACAGACTGGATCACCAATTCTTCCCCAATGTCGCAGATGAATGTTATTCACTACAGTTACAACTGAGGGGACTGAGGTGCAGAAAGCTCAAGGCGCAGAAAGCTCAAGGTGCACGGGCTGAGACTCCAGCCAAGTCCCGCCCGATGCCTTTTCACTGCTGCTGTATATGTGGAGCCTGAAGGACACTGTCAGAGGTGAAAAGACAGCCTCCAGGTGATCGAGAAAGGCCAGAAGAAAACAGTAAGAGGCAGTAGTAGCCTGCAGGGGGCCCAAACTGTTCACTGCCTTTGCAATAAAATAAACACTTGTTAATTGAGAGATTGGCCACTGAAACCCAGGAGGAAAACCTGCAGAAGAGCCAGTTCTACAGCTCTTACTAAAACCAAGACCAGTTAATTCTTGGGGGTGGGGGAGAGAGATTTTGCTCCCTAGGCTGGCCCTGTGGGCAGGTGACAATACCACACATACCAGGGTATTACAGTTGTCTTCAGGTGAAAAGGTAGGTAGCCATTATTTTGCATTTTATCTTATTACCTACTAAACCAGTAACATACTAACAATAGCTACCATTTAGTTACTATGGTATATACATACAATGCATGATCTCAGTTAATCCAATAACCCTATGAAGTAGATTTTATTAGTCTTAATTTACAGATACCTTACGGTACCCAGGACATCAGCTTCCCCAGCTTTTAAGTGGTAGATCTAAAACCTAAGTCAGCTTGACTAAAAGCCCTAGATGACATTTAGCTGTGGGCCTCTTTTGGCTTTGGTGCTGGTCAGAGGTGAGGAATTGTGAATCCCATTTGGTCATGCAAAGCTGCGCACGTGTGTGCGTGCATGCGTATGTGTCATTTACCAAAAAAACAAATCCAGGTCAGGATATTTTGAGGTGTGAAAACCTAATTGGGTGGAGAGGCAAAAATCTCTACGCATTCATTCATTCATTCTTTTGCTTCCCCAAAAAAGTATTTCTTGGGCACTCCAGGCAGGGCAATGGCGAACAGGAGGGACATGTGTGCTCCTCTAACCACCATACCCTCCCGATTTTACTATTTCGTGGGCGAGGCACTCGGAGAAGCAGGAAACGGACGTAACCACTCGGGGGATGACTTCTGCCCCGGCGGCGCGGGAGCCAGGGGAAGCGCGGAGCGGCTAGGTGGTCAGGGCAGGCTCCCCGGAGGCAGCGGCGAGCCCGGCCCGGCCCGCGGGACGAGTCTCCCGGGCCCGCGGCCGCTGCTCGGAAGCAGGCGTTGGGCTGGGCCCGGAACGGGGCTGGCCCGGGAAGGGTGGCGGGGCGGAGGCGGAGGGCGGCCGCGGGGTTAGGGTTAGGGTTAGGGCGAGGAGATTCGGCTTCCCGGCGGCAGAGGGCGCCTGGCGCTGCGGTCCGGCGCCGGAGCCACGAGCGCGGGCGCGGGGAGGAGAGGCGAGGCGCGGCGCGCGAGCGGGGCCACTGCCACGTCTTCCCGGCAGTGGCGGCGGCGCGGGAGGTGAGCGGCGCGCGGAGCGGGCGGGCGGGCGGGCGCGGGGACCGGCACTGGGCGGGAGAGCCGGCGCCGGGACAGCGCGGTTCCCGCCACGCCGGCTCCGCCTCCGCCTCCGCGCCGGGCTGACCGCCGAGGCCCGAAAGCCCAGCGGGTCCCGAGCGCAACTCGTGAGGGCTGGGCGCGCAGGGGCCGGGGAGACGCCAGCCCGCCCGGCTGCTGCGGCTCCGGGCGCGGAATCCCCGGCGCTGCGGGGCCCGGGCCGCGGCCGGTAAAAAGTTGGGGCGCACGGCGAGCCTGTGTGGGCCGGGCGGGAAGTGTGGGTGCCGGCGGGCTCGGGGGTCGGAAGGGTGCGTTGACAGGGGCGTCCCGGGCCGGAGGCGGGTTGGCCGCGAGCGCCCGGTTTGGGAAGGCGGGAGACGCGGTCCTCTGCAGGCGGGGAGGAACGTGTGCTCAGGGTCTCGGGCAGCAGTGGACCAGTGTCCGGCCGGGGGCTCTGCTGTGCGGAGGGAGGCCCCACGGGGTACGAGCCCTGGGGACCGTGGGACCAGCTGGCCGTGGGGTAGAGCGCTGGGGAGTGGGCTTTGCCTCCTCCCTGCCTATTTCGGGGCAGACCCAGAGAGAAGGTCAAGCTCAGAGTTGGGGACGCCCCTGGCGTCTGAAGACCCGATGGGGAGTTCCTGTAAGGGGTGGGGGAGGGAGCTAGGCATTGCTTCCTCCACCGCTTGGGTTGAGTACCGCCCCTCCCCATCTGCCACCTTCACCTCTCAGACTGCAGTGCTTTTGTCCTGGGGAAGTTGAGGAGGGACCCTTGAATGGAGGAGATATTTCAGGGTTCCAAGGTGAATAGGAGTGGGCTCCATGAAATCATAACTGGAACCCGGAGCTGCTTGAAAACACAACTCTGACCACCTCCCACACCCACCCAACCCATTCCCTCTCCAGTACCTCCAGGTCTGATTCTCTGGGTTGGGCTAGCCGGTCCCTAAAACCTAGCAGCACATTTGCTCACAGAGTCCTGTGTAGCCTGAAGGGGGTGTAAAACGTGCCTTTTTATTCTTTGGCTGAGGTTGGTTATTTTAGAAACAAGTGGTTCTGGAGATGTTGGATGCTTAATTAGAATAACCTGTATGGTGCCCCTGGAAAATGGAGATGACTCATATGGGCTTAATTTTTTCTTCCCCAGAAAAACTTTGCATTCAAGACACAAGTGTGCCAGGTCATTTGCAACAGTGGTAGAGCTGGAGACCCACACAGTGGGCCTTTTGAGCTCTAGCCCTAGGCATATTAGCAGGGAATATGACCTTGAATGAGTCACCCTTCCTTTCTGGACCTCAGTTTCCTTATCTGTGAAATAGGGTAGAGAGAAAAAGAGAGGGAGAGATACAATCTGTTGGTATCTATCGGTGGCAGGAGCAGGTTTCTGATGGAGACAGATCTTTTTCCTTGTGAGATTAGATTAGCCACACAAAGATAACCTCAGCATGTTCCTAAAAAAAATAGGATGGACTTAAAACAGATGAGAAGCCAGAATGATTGCACAAAGCAAGACAGAACCAAAAACTAATAGTAATTGGTACATACAGTATGGATACTGTTCTCATGCAGGCAATTAGTGTACATGGTTGGCTAGCTATTTTTACTGTAAAGTTGTTTGCTGAAAAATAATGATGTATATTTCACTTGTGGATCTGAATTTTTTTTTTTTTTTTTTTTAACCTTCAAGCCTGGAGTGGATGCTCAGTTGGACTGGTCTGGTACAGCCTTACTAGAAGAAGATCCCCAGGATCTCTCATTGCCATAATACTATAGATTTCCTTCTGTCTGACTGATGCTGGGACCTAGTACCATCGCACTTCTGTCATCTTTTCCATTCTGGCTTAAGAAGTGGTGAGCTGATTACTGTTGCATATGACATTTCTGAACTTCCCAGGCTTCATTTACAGTGATTGTAATTAATAGGCAAACAGTGCATTACATGCAGGACATTAAAAAAAGCTTAAGGTAATTACTGTCCACCCCACCCCTGTTCCCAGACCTTCTGGGCAGCCTCTCGCTAGAACTTCCAGGTCACCTGCTGGGCATCCAGATTTGGATACTAAGAGTCATCACAGAGTTGAAAGGACATGGCCAGGTCAAACAGCACATTAATGATCAAACCATGATGCTGGGAGGAGAGGAGGATTTTTTTGTATTTCATAACTGAATGCTCCTGTCCTTCTGTTTTCTTCCCTTAGTAGCTTTCCAAATCCGTTTGGATTTGACCACATCATTTTCAGTAATCCTTTTTTGTCAGTTTCTTGGAAACTGGTTATATTATCTCTGAGTTTTGAGGTAGTAGTAAAATTACATTCTCTTGAACAAGTAAAGGCTTGATTAATTAGGTTGAATCTTTAAAATAATCTGTTGTGTGTGTGTGTTTAAATTTTGTTTTAACTAAGGGCTGTTAAATCAATAAATGTCGTGATGCTATTAGCAGTTACCATTTGAGCCTCTGCCATTTATCAGGCAGTGTAAAGTGAGAAAACAGCTCTGTGTTACAGATGACGTGCCCAAGTAACTGTTGATCTTTGAAACCAAACAACCTTTTGTAATAGTGAAAGAGGAATTCTTAGCTATCCTACAGGGTTGTGATATTATATGAGGTAATATATATGGAAAGCAACATGTAAACTGTAAAGTACTGTCCAACCCAGAACGGTGTTTAACATAAGCACTGGGGACACTGGGAGCTATGAACCCATGGGTCTTGGTGTCTGATGGGCCTGGGTATACATCCTGATTCCATCACCTGACCCTTCTGAGCCTGGTTTCTGCATCTGTCAAGTCAGGATATTGTCTGCCTTATGTTAAATGAGACATACTTGTGAATTGCAGTGGTGCTCAGTAAAGGTTGATGTCCACCCCCTTTTCTCTCCCTTTGCCCACAGGCACTCGGGATAATGGCATTGATTAAGTCTTCCAGTAGGAATTGTCCTCAGGGGAAAAAGGCTTTTAAAGTACACGTTTTGTACTTACGGATAATTCTTTCTGCTTCTGCCTTCCCATTCCAGTCCCCAACTTGCTGAGTGAATATTGCAAGCCACCTGCCGTCATCTTAAAGGCAGGGTTGACATGAACAAAACCAGAAGTTGGGAAGGACGCGTCTTTGATAGGAAGGTGAAGATGGTTGTAGCTAGTTTCCTTTTGCCCATTTTGTGCTCTTCTCTCCTTTTTTATTCAGTTTATGGACAGGGAAAAGATTCTGAATTTGGGGGGTTTCTAGCTAGAAGGAGGTATTGGAAGAGCTGTAGGGTAAGGGAAGGGGGCAGGGGAGATATGGAATGGGAAATTAATGGAAGAGTTGAATCTGACAGTAAAAGCTGGAAAGTTTGGTGTGGGAGAACCCTGATAGATGTATGATTTGGCTAACGATGGGGCCAAGTTCCATCTAGTCCTATAAGTCTCTCTTGTGGGGCTTTGAAGTTTTCATGCCCCGGGCAGATTTAGACTGGTTGTGGTGGCATCATAAATGAGTTTCCATAGTAAGCTGTGTGCTGAAAAGGAAATGAAATTCCAGGAGGGTGTTTGTTGTGACTGATGCCAGAATTTCTCTGACAATTTTATTAAGATGCAGTCAGTTTATAAATGTACTTCTTAGTTCTCTGAAGATATTAATTAAGCAATAGTTAAAAAACAGAAATGTGTTCTTTGTGAGCTTTTGAAATTTAATCTTCCAAAATCTTTGGAACAGAAGAAGGCCAAACAAAAATCATAGAGCTATATATTTTAAAAGCATTTTCTCCCAAAGGAATGTTTTCCTTCTCCTTCCCTTCCTTTCCTCCCCTTGCATTATTTTGATAATGAGTATATTTTGGTTTCTTTCACATGTTGGAAGCCTAATTTTTATGTTTATGACCCTTAACTTTTAGATCTTGAACGTGCCTTCTTTTCTCTTGAGTTAATTCATACTCATTCATTAGGAAGCAACAGTGTGGCAAGTGATAAAGAGCTCAAACTCCTGCCCAGCTGGTGTGGCTCAGTTGGTGAGCATTGGCCCATGCACCAAGAGGTCGCCAGATCAATTCCTGGTCAGGGCACATACCCAGGCTGTGGGCCTGATCCCCAGTGGGGGACATGCAGGAGGCTGCCAGTCGTTCTCTCTCATCGATGTTTCTGTCTCTTCCTCTCCCTCCCTCTCTCTCTAAAATCAATAAAGAAAAAACATTTAAAAAAAAAAAAAAAAGAGCCCAGACTCCAGAGCCCAGCTGGGGATAGGTAGAGTGGTAATTGCCCTCGGAGAGCCAGGCTCTCTACAACTTGGGTTTAATCCTCACGGAAACTCTGGAGGCTGGTCGTGTTATTCCCAGTGCACAGAAGAGGAAATGGGCACAGAAATAGCCAGCAGGTGGTTCATCTGAGTGTCAGCTGAGATCTGTGTGACTCCGCAACCTGCGCAGGCAGAGGCCTTGCACATTCTGCCAGGGTTGGACTGTCCTGCAGGCTGGGGCTCTTCATTCAGGGAGAGGGTCAGATCTGTATTTTAGACAGGTAGCTCCATGGGCTGTGTGGAGTGTGAAATTAGGAGTAATGAGTCCATTGGCATAATTGGCGTGAGAGATGACAAGGACTTGAGGCAGTCAGAGTGGTGATGGAGAGAGGGTGTGTGTGTCTGGATGGACAGCGCTCACTGTCCCCCCAACCTCCTGAATTGCTGATGCTAACTGTGTAGACTGAAAGCAACTTCTGCAGAAACCAGAGTTGCCTCCTTTGGTTTCTTGTGACAGGTAGAGATGGTGCCTAAGTAAAACCTGAAAGTGCCTTCCCCTCTCTTTGCCCTCCTTGGCCTGATCATTCCTGCCTTTCTAGGAGCATCTCAGAGGGTGGAATTCAGGTTCCTCAGACCCCATTTTGGAAATGCTGGTTTGAACATTCAAACAAAGCAAAAGCATTGAAGGAGAAAAGCCTCCAAAGAGGGAAGCTTCCTTGGGGTGTAGTCTATACCCCACTGTTTCTTGGTGCACCCAGTGGATCCACCAGTGGGTGTGATCTTTGATTTTGCCTGTTCCCCAAGAGTTGATCTGCCTATAGGCAGGGTTGATTTGTAGTCACCAAGCGTGTGGGGCTGGCTGGGAAAGGGGGGGGGTGCTGGCGAAGTCACAGTGGTAGCCAGCCCTTTGAGGAGGAAGTGGGTGCAGGCTCAACAGGGAGCCAGGCCATGCTTGGTGAGCGGGATTCAGAGCAAGGGTAGTTTATTGCTCCTGGTGGCTAATGTCTGTATGCCCCCATCAGGATGTACAGTGGTCATGTCAATAATATGCTGGTCTTGTGCCCTCTACTCTGGTCAGTGCCAGAATTCATAACAAACTTGCTTTGGCTTCTGTTTTCCCAAGGGCATAATACCCATGTCCTTCAGATAGTTTGTTCTTTCTTGGCTTGGGCCCGTTGGTTGGGTTTCGGCTTCATTTGGGCTACATCCTCACTGGGAGGAGGGTTACCTTTATTCTCAGGGTTACCTTATTGGATTGCCTGCTTCCTGGCATCTCAGTCCTGAGCCATCTCTGTGGTGAAGCACTGCAGAAAGCTCAGTTCCCCAACTTTCTGCTTGATGGTACAACTTTCCCTCCAAGATTTGACCTCTTTTCCTTGTCTTGGCAGCCCCCAAGTGCAGAATGTTAAAGTGCCCCGAGTTTGTCTGGTGCTAACAGGGTGCCTGTTTTAATGGAAGGAACATTTTTGCCTGGGAATGTTAGCTGTTAGGTCTGCCTGTTAAACATTATGTCTTAAGCAAAGCCCCTTGGATTTTTTTTCCCTTTTGCTTCATGTTTAGCTCTCTGTGTGTGTGTGTGTGTGTGTGTGTGTGTGCGCGCGCGCGCTTGTTTTAATTATTAGTGGGAAACATAAAAGATACAAATTAAATATTGAAGTCTACAGGAGTGCCTCAATCGGCAAGCAGGGAAAATAGATGTGTATTTAGCCAGGATACAATTGATTTATCTCTCCTTTTCCCACATTGTTGCTGTTTTGTTGGCAGAACTGTCTGATTTGATCGGTTTGGATTTCAGTGGTGAGTGTGGAAAGATGCCTGGGCTGTCTGCCCAAGTGGAGGGTCTCAAATGAGTGGGTTTCGGGGCTGCCAGTCTTGGCTGTCCCCACAGTCTGAAGATCCTGGCACACGGGCCTTTGTTGGGAAGGTGGGGTTTGGCTGGGCATTTTCCTGGACTTTGCTGGGAGCATCTCCGCTGGTGACAGTGGGTGGCTTTCCCTCTGCTGTGGGAAAGGAAGTTCTCTCTCACTGCTGCTCGCTGCGTTTTTCTCATTCCGTGGGCTGAGAGGTGGAAGCCCCAGGACAGGGCTTTGGAGCCGGCAGGTCCAGCGTAGGGCAGGTTTGTAACTTGCACAGAGCTTTTCCAGAAGTTTTCCGTACACCCCACGTTTTCCTTCTTCCCTGTTGAGCCCCATCCCATCTGTTCTCAGTGGCTTAGAAGTTGGACTCGAGCATTATCAGTCACTCTTGGGAAGACGCGGGAGCGTGGCACCAAGCTTGTTCAGGTTGGCGTGGCAATTTCACACCAGAACAAGAGCCCTGCTGTGGTGGTGGTGGTGATGGTGGTGTTTTGTATCCAGTTCAGTTGTTTTTTCAAAAAATGAAATAAGTAATACATGAATATATTATGCTCTCAAGCCCCACACACCCATTCAAAGAGTACATAGTGGTACACAGCAGAAAATGTCAACTCCTCCTTCATCCAGCACCCCTCCCCCCGCACTGCCTCCTTGCTGGGTTCTCAGAGATAACTAGCTTTAGCAGTGTGATGCTTATCCTGAAATTGTTCATCAGCCTGTATAGACACAAAGTTTCGTTTTATTCGTAAGCATCAATCTGGTTGCATCATATATATCATTTTGTT